TATATGCGAAATACTATATTACACCCTATAGTACCCAGCAGAGCTTCTAGAACATTACAGGTGCTCCAAAAATGGTGGCTGTGATTGTCAGTGAACAGATTCTGGAAAAGAACGCTCCAGTCAAAGTCAGAAATTTATATGAGCACCCACTGTTTGCCAAATATTTTGCTGGTACCATGAATATAAAAACGTAGTCCCTGCCCTCAAGGAATTACAATGAAGAGGGACAGACAGATCCAGATAATTATAAAACAATGTAATAAATGCAACAGCAAAGAAATACGCAGAGTGCATAGGAACACAGGAATAGCTGGGAGGTAAATAGATCAGAGACTGCTTCCCAGAAGGTCTAACAAGGAATTCCCTTCCTGCTTTCTATTCCAGAAAACTTCATATGCCCTTATTTGGGGAAGCATCCACTGAGGTACAGCCTCAGTTCAGTCTCTGAACTTTTACTTCCACTCAAGTCCATCCACCGATTTCAAAGAAAGGGGAGGTGGGTAAAGGAAAAGGAGATTTTAAGTTGGCACAGGTAGACTCTAAGATTCTCTCCCTCCCCCACAACCACATAAAAATGGAAATCACATGTTTCCAAATCCTCCTTACACTTATGATAGAGACTGGGCGCTCTACAAGTTATACAATCACCCCAGATTTAAGCTGGGTGTAGGTAAGTAACCAAAACCATCAGTCCAGTAGGTAATTTCCTCCATAACAGCCAAATGGGGCCTGCCGAGTCATTTTGCTTATTCCAACTGGGCCAAGAAGGTATCCAAAACCTTGAATACTGCATAAATTTCAGGAGATTTTCTCCATTAAGCCTCACTAATTCAACATTTATTCACTTAATAAATACCTACAATGCCAAACAACGCCTAATTACAAGGCACTGACATTCCAAAAAAATGCAAATTTGGCTCCTGTCCCTAAAAAGAACCTCTGTGGGAAAGTCACACATCCAACAGCCATAAGTAGAAATGAAGCCACATGGGAACAGAGACTACTAGTTGTATCCATTCATAGATATCTCTCTTGACACAACAATCTTGTGAAATAATAGAATTATCTCCATTTTTACCAGTTTGCTCAATTAACGAGCCAGCATATAAAACCTGGATCTTCTGGGCTTTGACAGGACCAGACTCTAAAATATATATTAAACTTAGCATTACCATAGATGAAAGTAACAAAATCACAAGTCTTACGAAGACTCTAAATATACACACAGAAAGGAAATTAAAGATGGGTTTCCTCATCTATAAAACAGGAAGGCTGGACGAGATCAGAGATGGGTAAATAAGTAGCATTCCAGGAAACACTCTCCACTGCCCCTCTCTGGGACCCACATCCCAATCAAACATTACAAATCAGAGCACGCTTTCCCACCAAGCCCAGAAATGCATCCATGTCCTTACCAACATGGCGGCCACTACCAGCTGGAGCTTGCTGTCACATGCTGTCCAGTCAGCTCCGACTCCTGGCCACCCTATGAATGAGTGATGTCTACAATGTCCCGTCCTCAACAGCCCTTCTCAGCTTCTTCAGACTCAGGCCTATGGCTTCCTTTATGGAGGCAGATGAGCAAAACGTAACCTACTCGCCATCCTTGAACCAGATAAAAGGCCCAGAAAGGTGAAGCAAACTACCCAAAAGTTTTACGTAACTAGTCTAAAGAGAGCACTAAGCCTTGAAACAAGGGTAACATAACCGCGTAACGCTTACAAGGATACAAAGCACCCTCTCTTCCATTACCATTTGACCCTCACTACCCAGGAAAGAATTATCCCTGTATTTACATAGCTTGAAATATGGACCTGTGAAATAATGTGATTAGGTCAAGGTCATCCAGCTAGTAAGTGGCTTGGACGAATCCCCACAACCTCACGACCCCTTTTTACATGAGAAAGCCACAGAGTGGTGAGTGGAACCTGGATATTTAATATCCACCCAAGAATGTCAATCCAAAATCTTCTGAGCTCTTCTTAGCCACTAGGCTACATGCAACTATTTTAGATCAGATAAGCTCCTCTTTCTATAAAGAAAGATCTTAAGTAACTAACCAACTAGTAAAAAAAAAAAAAAAAAAAAGCAACTATTTAAAAGGCATACACTCTATAATATTACACCTACCTCAATCACAAATCATCATATACTTTTGAAAATTTACATAAATGAAAAGAATAGAACCAAAAAGTTGGACATTACACTAATAAAACTACCAATTTTTTGTGAGTCAGCCCTTTCACTGTCTCGTATAAGAAATACACTTTTTCATTTTTTTAATTCTCATCTTTAAGCCAAGTATTAGCAAGTAATTCTACATACAGCTTTTTACAGGTGTAGAATGCCCTGAAGATTGTTTCAGGAATGTAAAGTATTATTCAGTTCCCTCTGCATAGGGATTATTACATTATAGCACAATGAGCATGCTATGCCTAAAATTAAAGTCATGTGAGAGATCTTATCGCAAATACTTAAACCGCAACATATTCATCATATCCTCTCCTCAGAATTTGGACTAACTTAAGTGGAAATTCCTCTTTCTGGACGGCCTTGAAGACATGAGAACTACTCCTTAAGATAACTAAAAGACTCAGTTTAATTGTATAACATTTATATCCTACAGTACTTGAAAGCATCACTAAGTCAAATATTAATATAACCTGAAAAGCCTTTTCTTAAGCACCAAAATATCCCAAAGCTTTTTGCAACCAGCACAAGAACCTTTTACCCCCCAGGAGACCACCCTGCTTTTACAGGTGTCTCAGGAACTGGCGTGCACGAGCTGCACACGCCACCTCCCAAATGACCCGATGCCTTCCAGAGTGAGAAGCTGATCCTCTTTTCTGCTCTTAAATTATTCAAAATTAGCCTACAAAGAATTACTGCAGACTACTTGAACGAACTTTGCAGACCCGTGGGCCACATTCTGCATTTACGTTGCTGGGAAGCATCAGTGTGACTCCTCCCTCCCAGGGTTTAAGAAGGAATAGAGCAGGAAAATACCTTAAAAATCACAAGCTACTTTTCATTAGAAAAGGAACTTTTCAGTGAAGATTTAAGTGAAGACATAATATGCCTGTGACAGACTGACAACTATACATGATAGTGATCAACCTTCAGTGAATACCCAAAACTACTTTTTTTTTTGGTTCGTCACCTCTGAATCAGACAACTTTACTATCATTTCATTTAAAAATATCCCACTTTCACGGTTTTACATTTCTCAGTGTTGAGATAAATTTACCCGAAGTTTGGAAAAAACTGGTAATTTCTGGTCTGCAAGACCCCTATACAGCATTAAATCTTTAAAGCAGAAATCCACAATACATAATATTACAAGATATAACACTACGAATGTTTTATTCTATCTTCTGAGTTTTCAAGGACATTAGTAACAATAAAAAACCATGCTCAAACACTTGGCTTAAGTTTTTCAAGCCATATTTTACAAAGATTATGGTTTTTGTATGCCATAATTACATTTTAAACTGATCCACTACATTGAAAGTAACTTGTGTGAAATCACCAAGGAAAAGGGTCACTTAGAGAAACAGCATTGAACACAGTTTTTTTAGGCCATCAAAATAAAGGTCTGTAACTTGGAATCAGAGAAAAACATAATGCAAATTCACAGTAAGCTGAAGTGAAAATCCCACACAGCTACATAACAAAAAAAAATACATAAATCAACAAAATTTCCTTGTTAGGAAAAAAAAAAAAACCCTGAAGTTTAAAATGGAAACTACTTAAATTGAGAAAGAATTCCAATGACATGACATTTTCTCGCCAAAGCGAAGGAATTTGAAGATTATATCATTCAAATCTCATTGTGCTATATTATAAAGGTCTTGGCAATAGTTGGCCATTAATCTTTAACACAAAGGAGATTCAAATCCAAAAGAAGTAAGTGTAAGACTATCTCTTCCAGGAGACAGAAATGGAGTAATTTACTTTATTTACAATTGTTTAACCTAAAAGGAAGGCCCACAAGGATGATACCGCAGAACGGACCAGCCTTCCGTCTCCCGAGTCCCAGTTCTCACGAAGTCTTGCACCAATCCGAAAAGAGAAGGTTATGGACACAAAACAGGCTTAGGGAAGGCTGAAAAAAATTCCCAATGAATGACACACCACATCATGGTTTATTCTCTTACACAATTGGAGAAACGACAAAGAAAAATATCACACCATATGTTCCAGCGTATCAATTAAAAAAATATTTTACGACAGTACATTCAATCCTTTTCTTTGGGACTGAAAAGATAATTTAGCTTCTGTTTTATTGATTACAGAGGAAAGGGGAAAGCCAGATGCTGCAATGCAACAGAGGGCTGCAACAGAGGAAGGAGAGAAAAGGGTTTTCCAAACACATCCCGCCCCCGTTCCCGTCTACACACCCCAAACAACTTACTTATCCCACCCTTTATTGTCCCCCCAAATATAAACCTAATAAATCCTTTCCCTTCCCCCACCATCGTGAAATTTCACCTTTCAGAGCTCCCTCCCCTCCCACTCCCAGAGCACTCGATGACCCGCACAGATTTCAGATCTTTCAAACTTTTCTTCCTTTTTTCATGAAACGCGAGAGTTTTGTCATAAAAGCGCACGACATTTTCACAGATCTCCAGAAAAATACCTGTTTCCCAGCAACATGCACGCTTCCATTCTCGAACCCCTCCCCATCTCCCAGGTTTGGCTCGCCAAGGTTGGGGGGGAGGGAGCCAGGAGCAAACGAAATTTCGGAAGGGAAATCCAGGACGAAAGGAGAGCAGTTGAGGAAAATTGGGAGACCGTCGAAAAGAGAGCCCCCCCATAAGAGGGGCTGCCAGGGGAGGGGGACAAGAAAGAAAGAGAAATTGGAAGGGACAAAAGGGGGAGGGGGAGAAGAGCTCGCTGAGCCGGGGCGCCGCGCCGGGCCGGGCGGGGGAAGGCGGGGTCGGGGAACGCGGGGATCGCGGCACAATGGCCCGCCGGCCCCCGCCCCGCGCGCCCCTCACCTCATGGTGCCGGCGGCGCCGAGGGGTCCCCAGCAGCCGGGAGACGCCGAGCCGAGGGGGTCGCTCCTCCGGGGGCGGGGACGCAGCCGGCTCCTCCGCGCGGCGGCGGGGGCTACACCATGCCCGCGCACAAAGCCGCGGCGCCGGCCCTAACGGCCGAGCGGGCGAGACCAGGGCCGGGGAGGGCGCGCGCAGCCGGCCGAGCGAGTCCGCCGCCGCCGCCGCCCGGAGCTCCTCGGCCGCCCTCGGGGGTGCCGCCGGCCCGCGCCGCCGCCGCTCCGCAGGCCCGCGCCGCCGCGCCCGCCCGAGGCCGTGTGCAAGCTGCAGCTGCGGCAGCCGGAGCAGAGCCGGGCGGAGAGCCGGAGCGCCGCGCGGAGCCCGGAGGAGGCGGGGCGCGCGGAGGAGCACGCAGGCGCCGCCCTCCTCCCGCCTCCCCCGGGGCCGAGGGGGCGGCGCGGGGGGAGGGGAGGCGGGGGCGGGCGCGCACCCCCCGCGGGCGGCCCGGGCCCCCGCCGGACTGCGGAGAGCGGGGCGGGGCGGGCGCGGGCGCGGCGGCGGCGGGGCCGTGGAAGCTCTTTGTTGCCTCCCCGCCCCGCCCCCTCCAGCCCCCTGGGATCGGGGCGCCCCCCTACCCCCGGCCCGCTGCCCGCGGGGGGGGTCCTCGCCCCGGGTAGTCCTTGGCCGTCGGCCCCCTCCCCGTCGCCTCCCGCTCCCCTGAAGCTGGGGGAGCTCCCGGGCCTCCCGCACGGGGACCCGCGGGACCTCCCGGGCGCGGGACGCGCGGGCACCGGCGTGGGGAGCGGGAGGCTGCGAGCGGGATGCGTGACTGGGCACGGGGCCGGGCCGGGGGACTCCGGAGCTGCTGGCGGCCGGGTGCCCTCGCGCGGGGCTTGTCCTCAGCTCGCCCCGTTGCTGTCTCAGGCCCGGGTCCGCGAGTCGGTGGGCATCCCGGCCGGCCCCACCGCCCGCCCCCGCCGCGCGGCGGCTCCCAGCCAGTCCTCCGGGAAGGGGGGAGGGGGTGGCGTGCAAATGTAAAATATGGTCATCATTGTTCGCTGCGCTCCCGTTCTTCCCCAGGAATCCCAGCTTGCTGGACCGATTTAACGAACAGATATGCACACGCTATGTTTAGGGATGACTTCATCCCCAAACGAACGCAGCCAGCTCGCGGGGAAACGCAGTCGCCGGGAGACGCGCGCTCAAACGTGTGCAGCCGCGGGAGTGGAGGAGAGAAACGCAGCCAGTGAAGCCGCTTTCTCTCGTCATTAGCAAAAAGGGAATTCCGGCCGGCGGGCGGGGAGGGCTGCGAACTAATGGTGGTTTTAAATTTTCCGTCATTCACACGGTCTTGAAATCACCTCCTTTAAAAGGTAATTGTGAAATGCTGGCGAAGCAAACTCACTGGGGGGTGGCGGCGTACGGGGGTCATCGAGGAAGCCAGAATTTAGAGTTGGGGGAGTTTTTCGGTATCCAGAAGCAAATCCAATAATCAAATAAAAATTTAAACTGGACAAATTGCAGGCCTCCTGTAGTCTCGAGGTAGGGGATGTATTTTCTCTATAAAAGATGACTAGGATGGAAAAGGTCTGTTGCTTCTGGGCTGCTATTACTAGAGGATCTAATCCAAAATGGAGGACCGACTGTGACTCCAGGAATCTATTCATAAGTTTGGCTGTTTTATTTTAAGATGGAAGTACAATTCGAATTACGTATGGTTGCGACAGTTGAGATCATTTACACTTCCAAAACAAAAGTGGACAAGTTATAGTCATATTTGGTCAATGCCTGACTTGTCTGTAATAGAACGGTGTGGCCCAGTTTAACTATAAAAAGCTCCCCGGTTTCAGACTCAATACCCAGTTATTTTCTTTTTGGAACCTGAAGTCTCAAACCCACAGCCCTGTGGGAGCAAGTGACCTGGAGCTATGGCACAGGACCAGGGTGGCCTCAGGTAGTAAAAAGCACAGTACCTCTGCTTAAACATGGTGTACTTGAAGAACACTAATTTCCACCCACATATCTAATTACAGCTCACCGTCACAGAGAGTATTTTATTCAAGGATCTCCAAGCACTAGAGACAAAACACCCTTGCCAGTCAAATGGCCTTGTTGCCATCTTACAAGTAAAGACGGAATATAAGAGCTGAAGAATGGATGAGTTAGTGCAATAGGCATGATTAAAAATCATAGCTACTAACTAGGAGGTTCATTGTCTTGTCATAAACACTGTCATTTATGTAAGTAAAACACAGGCACCTCAAATATTATTTTCCAAGTTAATCAAAGAACATTTGCTGTGGAGGCTTTTTTCTTGGAAAAGTAATAAGGACATATGGAACCATCTTGGAAAAGTGTTAATAAGACATATTCGACCACAAAGAATTCACACCAATTTGCCTTAGTCCATTCATAGCAATACAGTAAATCCAGCAGAGCTTGTGTTTCAGGGAAAACTCTTACAAAGGGCCAAAAGGGGTGGAGAGTTTGCTGTAATGACTCAAACTATCTCCTGCCAGAGACAAGAGGCAAGGATAAGAATTCCTTACAGATGACTCCATAACCTACTTCTCATTCGTGAAAGTTAATCCATCCTGCACTAAATAAGTGATATATCACATCATCTTTATCCTAACAGCAAATGTTCCAGTGGTATGGGTACCAAATTAAGCAATCCAAGTGGAAAATGCTGTTCTTATTTTCTATGTTTATTAAGAATGTACCAGCCAAGAATTTTGGCTGCCTACAACCATTTCCATCCTTCTGGATGGCAGCCCGCCAGCTCACAAGTTGGTCATACCCTTGCCTTTGGATTTAGATACTGCAATGGGTGGCCTGACCGCCAAAGGTCATTCTGTGGAAGGGCAATTTGTTGGCTGTGACCAAATGTTATTGCTTCTTGTTCATATTTGGTTTAACAGTCAAGGAGGGCAAAAGAGAAATGTGAGCTAGGAAATCACAGACTAATTCTGGTCACAAAGGAAACTTTGTGGAATGTGTTGCCATATAGAATAAAAGAATTTTAGAGATGGAAGGAATCTCAAGTCCAACCCCCTCATTTTTTCAAAAAAGGAAAGTGAGGCCCAGAGAGGTTCAATGAGTTATCCACAGCCATGCGTTCCCTTTGTGGTGGAACCGGAACTTAAACCTAGGATTTCCAATGATTGGTCCATCGCCCCTTCTACCACACCATGCTACCTTCCTATGACATAAGTAAGAGTGGGTTAAGGCAGTAAAAATTTAAGCTGATTTTCTTCTCATAAACTCTGCTTGAAAATTACCTGAGGGGCTGGTCCCATGGCTGAGTGGTTAAAGTTCCACCCGCTCAGCTTGGCGGCCAGGGTTCACCGGTTCGGGTCACGGGTGCGGACATACTTGGCTCATCAGCCATGCTGTGGAGGCATCCCACATACAAAAAATAGAGGAAGATTGGCACAGATGTTAGCTCAGGGCTAATCTTCCTCACAAAAAGGAAAAAAAAATTAGCTGAGATTGTGTTGGCTTGGCTGAATGGTAAAAATCACTGAACTGTTCTCTCATAGGGGTTGCCCCACCTGAAGCCCCATACCCGGCCCTCATGTAGGTACCTGGATGATTGAAAGGTGAATGAATGAATCAACGAATGACTGCTCTAAGATGATGAGGAAACAATTAATCAAAAGAAATACACTCTCCTTAACACTAAGCATATGGACCTCAATCTTCCCTCACAGTACAAGCCCAGCTTAACACCACAATAGTAGGCCTGCTCCACGCCCTGGGTACGCACAGCCATCCCAAGTTGACCTGCGCATCTATTAGCTGTGTGCACCCAGGCATAAGAAGAAACAAAACGTGCTCTGTTGAAGATGGGTTTGCTGCAGGAGTGTTGTCAGTCTGGCTCTCAGGGTTCTCTCAGAACATGCCTTGTTTAAATTCGTCTGATAGCATCAGTGTGGGCTTGTCCTCCATTTATGGGCGTGAGAAGGATGCATGACTAATGCTACTCAGCAGTCAGGAAATCATTGCTAAGGATTGTAGGCACTATCTCCCCCATCACCCAAAAAAGGATTCTCCCTTGAAAAATGAGGAGTTGCTTAGGGATGGGTGAGGAAGAGAAGGTAGTTTGGAGCGAATGTGATTATACATTTTCTACTTATCTGTAACAGTACCTGTTTTCTTTTGTGGCAATTAATTCACAGTGTAATTTTTCTTTGTCTCTCCAAGAATGGAAGAAAAATAATGTAGAACATGATATTCCAGTAGGATTCAAGATATTTTTATTACTCATCTTTCAGCTTTAGCTGCCCATATATAACCTCGGTTCTAAAATATTATCAAGAGACAGAGACATTAGAGGAAACTATTTGCCTCTGCCATTTGCATTTTTCTTCCATTTGTCATTTTTCTCCCTTCCAAATTAGGATTTATTCAGTTAATTTCATTTCCTCTTCCCCAGTGTCTCTTTCTTTTCTTAGCACTACCCTGTTTAAACTTGGCAGAAGATTCATAAAGCCTGAACAGCATTGAAGTAACATTAGTCGGTAGAGGCCATATTCTATAAAATGCAATGCATTATTTCCACAAAATTCAGCCATGGCTGCCATTTAAAGAATTCAGCAGGTGGGCCCCAATTCTAGACAGCAATCAAATCATGGTCCTTTAGAAATTGGATTGAAAAGAAGCATCACCATAATCTAATTCTGAACTCTTCATCTTTTATTTTATAAAATCAAGCTGGTAGCTTGGGAAGAAAAATGAGTGGTTGCCCTTTTTCTTCCACCGGATTGATTTACTAACCCCATTTACTGTAATCAAACTTGAGAATACCAGTCTTTTCTTTTAGGGACATTATGATCAGGTGACAACTGAATTTGGAGTCTTTCCTCAAAGGAAATCAGGAGAAAAGTTAATAAAGAAAAGATTATTTTCGGCTAATCACAGTAGAGAAGAAAGAAATTACCACTAGGATGTATCCTGAACAAGCTAAAATTAATTCACACTGCTTAACACCACGTCTTTTGTAGCTTTTTTCCCCACTGCTCACGTAAGTTTCAAAGTTCATTAAAAATCCCAATTATCTTTCTCTCTGAAACCGTTGCTAAGCATGGTGACCTGGCCAGATTCTAGTTTGAGAAATTATCTTCAAATCTTCATTTTCTTGGCTTTAACGTCAAAATTCAATCTCTAATCAAGCCTTCCTAAAGTCGAAAGAAAAGCAGCAATTATCAGAAAAAAGATTCCATTATGTGTCATTAGTGGTAATACTTCCATTTGGCCTCCAAACATTTTAATATTCTTAACTCATTTATCATTAGTACCAACTTATAATGAAATAAAATGGTGATATCGTACTCATC